TTTGCATCATTTTCCTCAGTCTCTTCTGACGGACTGCGGGACGGTACCTCAATAGCTTCCACTCAGCAGTCCTTCTACCATCTGACGCTATATATGTACTTTAGATACTGAGAGAATTGTTAAATAAACAACAGGAGAAATTCACTCTTTATGTGTCTGAAAACCGGCTAATCCGAGTTTTTCCTGTAGTTTTCTTCAGTCCTATACAGATGTCAGAATGGCACACAAAAGTAGGCCACGGCCAAATCCTTCTCAGTCCTTCCCAACTCAATATTAATCAATCACTATTCGACTGTAACAGCGTCGTGAAGTGAAGAACAAAAATGTAAAAAACAAACAAAAACAAAAAACGAAACGAATAAGTAGTTAAATATATAAAAAGTAAAGTAAAGCTATCCATGTAACAGGCCGTGAAGGCCCATAGGGTTGTGAGATGTTGAGCTTCCCAAATTATCTAGATAATCGGCTCAAAGATGGCGGTAAGGTTGTCAGCCTTACGCGCCGGCCGCGCTTTACTCCTCAGGAAAATTATTTAATGAATTCCTGGTACTCATTAAATAATCTGGAAGGATTAGGTCAGTTGAGTTAAATACATATGTACAGTAAATAACAGAATACATAAACGTTCAGTTCATGTTTTGCAAGAGCTGCGCGTCGGGGTTTTAGGGACTATGTTGCTGAGTCTAAGAGGAGTTGTGACAGCTGAACATCTAGTCAGATGAGGCTGCCCCAAGGTCTCACTTGCAACTCATGAAATCCCCACTTTGTTCAAACAATACGCATTTGTCTGCCACTTGCGACATTCAAACGCCAGGCGGAGTGCAGGGCCCAGGCCTTTCCTTATTTACTGACAGCTCTTGGCTATTTCTCACCGTGCGATGACTTCATCCGATGTCAGTCAACATGTGCTGCAGCGTCGCGCGCAAAGAATCTGATGCCTTTTATAACCTGAAGATGGTGGCAGACGGTTCCTCCGAAGCGTTTATACCTTACGGTATACATACTACGTGGTGTCACATCCATACCATCATTTGGGAACCATCTGCTCTGAAATTGCAATGTGGGGTAGAGGTTCAAGTGAATTTCTACTTTGCTGGAAATCGAGGTATCTGGCCCAACAGAGCGACGGGTGCGGCCTGGACCACCAAGGAATCGGGGTTCTGTTTCCACAGCGTCCAAGCTTGTTCTGTGGCACAATAAGCAATCTATTCGGTGTGTACCGGTGGCTCTTTCCCTGAGAGTAAAGTGGTTAGGGCGTGCACCTGACCACTCACCTGCGTCTGGTTCCGAGGTTAGGAATACGTCTACCTATACTCCACTCCCCCATACGTCTTCCTGGTGTGGTGCTTGACTAATTTTACCTTCACCTCCCCCTGCAAACAGCCGTTGCCGGGTCAGAGACTAACCCTCAAGCACAGAGGCCGAGAATGTGATAAGGTGCTGCCTGGTCAGGGCTATCGCACGCCTGTGGTAGGGGCGATAGACGAGTTTGAAGCAATGATGGAAAGATGATTAGCAGGGCAAAATTGAAGAAACTAGAAGGAAAAGTTGCTCCGCTGTCACTTCCTGAACCACAAAGCTCTCGTGAAGTCACCCGGTATTGAACCCGAGGCTCAGCGGTGAGGAGCCGGACTTCTCTCGCTTTGCGACACACCGGCTTTGTGTGACAGCCAAAGTTTCCTGCCCTCTGCGATCCCAAGCGCATTTGCACACACACGCTAATAGATGGGTTCACAATATCTCACGTGTATGTCATACACACGAGATCCCGTGACGTCAGGCAAAATTCCACGGACCTCATTATTTCCCATGCAAGAAAAAGGTAAAACGTAAAGTTTTCTCACAGAGATATTGGGTTTTCGGACTTTATCCATCGTCCTGGTTTTAAGATAACTAAGAAAAACACGACGTTTCGGAAACTGGATCTGTTTCCGTCCTCATATGAGGTAAAACACCTATTCTGTTGGGTCCCTTAGAAAGAGCTAGCCTCAGTCACTGGTTCACTGGTCCAATCACTGTTTTTCTTAGTTATCTTAAAACTAGGACGATGGATAAAGTCAGAAAACCCAATATCTCTGAGTGTTATACACCATCGTCAGAATCCTATAGTAACTACTTGTAAAGTTTTTTATGTGATCACATAAGTAATTAAGCATGACGCCATGAAACCGTGTGGGGGGATTGGAAGTGTGCATCCACACATCTCGAATTCCTTCAAGGATTAGGGTCAGTTCAGGTCAAGGCCGTGTACTGAAACTCCGATTAGCTGGTTCTGTGTTCTATTTACAGATCTGCTGTGCCCAAACCCTACACCGTGAAGACGTTTCAAGCTTGTAGAGTACAATACAGTCACACATCGGACTTATGATCTATTGCGTTAGTTAGTTAGTTTCTTTTAGTTTCGTGGGGTGAGGTAAGTCTCACTTGGTACGTCGGCCACTATTTGGCCTGTTGTACCAGCCCAGGATGATAAATGATGAGTGTGGGGCAGTCGGTAGAATGAGCATTGGCAGGGGAAACCGGAAAAGTCTGAGAAAACCTGCCCCAGCGCCACTTTGTCCACAATTCACACATGATCTGCCCTGGGCTCGAACCCGGGCCGCCGCGTTGGGAAGCCGCTGATTAGCCGCCTGAGCTATGACACGGCCAAAACGGGTCATCTGTGCAGTTCTCTGTAACATGGAACACGTAGGGTAACATTCCTGGGACTCACGGCACTGATACTTCAGTACATTAGTCTCTGTTACGCTGTGAGTCTATTGTCTTTGTTAGAAAATTAATAATAGCAATATTAAGCATTGAAAGTGTTAAGCCTATTAGAAGTAAGCAAGTTAGGATTTTGTCATGGATCGTTAAGAGATGAGATTAGAGTCATCAGAACAAATCAACATGGCACGGCGACAAAACTCGACGCTTCCAGCGTTCCATCCAACTCTGGTTCTGGGAGATGCTGGGAGGGGTCGTTGGGGTCTTGGGCTTTATGTAGATTCTGTCCAAGGGACAGAATTCGAGTTTCGAGTCTTTTAAAACCAAGAATTCAGAGCGAAAATCTATTGGCTGTAAAATTAATGGGATCGTTAAGTTTGGAATTTCGTTATTCGGATAAGCTGTAGGTCGAGATGCAGCTGTATCTGGACAATAGAGAGTGGTACGCTATGAAATGTGACGCCTTACAGTCTAGTAGAAATTTAGTGACGTTTCGAAGAAACTGTTTTTGTCTTCGGGATCGAAGTGTAAGTCTGGTAAGTAACCAGACATCAGCGTTGCAAGGAACCCTGTTCCATTGCCCCCCTCGCGGGGAACTACTCCCCAAATTCGGGCCCATTTCCTGCCATCACCGTCATTAATTTAGTTTCTGCTTGCTTACCTTATTCTTCCACACTGAAGATGGAAGCAATAAGACAGTAACGCACGAAGTTGAAACGGCATCGATAAATGGCTCAAAAACCGACCCGAGATCAGAATGGACCTGAACATACCTTTTCTATAAGACCAAGTGCTACGACAGAAAGAAAATATACTTTTAATCTGCAATGTTTTGGAGTCGGGATAGCTCATTCAGTATAGTGACCAGGCTACGGACCGAATTCGATTCCCGATTGGGCCAAAGGCTTTTCTCCACTGCATTCACACAGACCCTGGGATGCACCCAGCCTCCTGTCCCGTAGATACGGGGGCTCCTTCCCAGGAGCAAAGCGACCGGGGCGTGAAGCTGAAGCCCACCCACTCTACGAATCAGGATATGTCATGCCTTATACAGAAAATATTACGGAAGAAAACGCTCTATAAGTACATACTGTGGCTTGTAGAGCCGTTGCTAGTCAACGACAACGAAACAAGCAACTCTACAACAACCATTTCTAAGTAACGCCTCCGAAAACAAGTATGTGTCCATGGCAACGAGAAAACAGCAATAATATAAGAGACGTTTTCTATGCGGTCCGTGCCGAAATGTTATAACCAGGACCAGTTAGCGGTTGCAGTGAGATAGAGGAGTGCTGCGGTTCAGTCCTTGTGAGCTGTTGATGTTAGAAACTGGTAGCTGAGGCACGGGGACAGTTCGGGAGCCCAGAGTAAGGGGAACGTCCGCCGTTGGAAGCCACTTCCAAGCAACGGCAGTGAAGACTTGACTGTGGACGCTAGTGTGTGTATGTAATAATGAACTGTAAAGTGTAGTCACGCGGTGCCTCGAAGAGTTTGAAGTTCCCACAGGCGTATGGGTACCGGAACCATGTTAAAAATGGGATGTAGTAAGTTCCTGGTGATGACGTCATGACCTAAATGTGAGCGACACTTGATCTCCGAGTAAATGCTGGTATCGCTTGATATTCTGCTAGGTGACTTTCAGTTTGCGTCCTGCCTGACAAGTGACGTGAGCTGATACGTAGTTTCCTATTGGTGTTTTCGTGTCCTTTCATCCGATGAAGGCTGCGGATCAAGGCAGCCGTAGCGGCGACTCGGCTTCTGAACATGTTCGCGCCACAGTTCCAGCCCACGTCACAGCGTTCTGCCCCATGGAGCTGTGTACTGCTTGAGAAGTCAAGTGTTCTCCAGCCACTAAAGAGATGTCCTCAACACAAGTCCCTACCCTGAGCCAGATCAATCCAAACAATATCCCGCGATCTAGGTACTTTGGATTTGAAGACGTTAACTGTTTCATGAAGAATTTTATTTATATAGATGATGTGATGCCTGCCGCTTCCATTTTCAGGGTTCTTCCGAAACGTCAGTAACAATCAACTAGAGTACACGGCGTCACACCGATCTGGTTGGTGCAGCAGTATCAACCCAGATTTGTGCCGTGGTTTTCCTCAGTGCCTTCAGGCAAATACATACCGGCAGAGTCCATGGACTGGACGACTGCTGCAACCAGTCGAACTGTGTACTCGTGAGATGTTGACATTGTTGTCTCTCCCCCAGAATCCGGCACCGGCCAGAGAGCGACACGTGGTCCCATCTGGTGACGTAAGCCGGTCACATGCCTCGCCAGTGGATAAGTCGCGTGCCTCTGGGGCGGACAGGCAGTTGTAGCCGTTGTGTGTACCATGGCTGACATTAGCGCCTTGTTCACGTCCACAGAGGAGCAGATCTCGCCCGTGGATGCTGCTGTCACAGGTAAGCTGACGCTGCCGGTAGCCCAGACAGTACTGCGTTGCATGACCGCATGACAGCGAACAGTGAACTGGAAAGGATAAGAAAGGAAGCCTAAAAATACTATTGTAGAGACGTGATAGCACAGTACACCTTTTAATAGTGTATTTTTAATTATATTTTTAATATTAATACGTCTTTTATATAAACATCACGTAAACATTAGGAGCCGGGATAACGCAGTCGGTATATTGACTGGTTTACGGGCTAGTCGACAGAGGGATCGGGTTCGAGTAACGGTATGGTCAAGAAATTTCTCTTCTGCACGTCTTTCAGACCGGGATCAGGGGTAGCGCAGTCGGCATAGCGATTGGCTAAGGGCTGGACGACCGAGGGGTTGGAGTTCGAGTCCCGGTAGGGGCAAGAATTTTCTTTTTTCCACGTCGTCCACACCACCTACCAATGGTTACCGGGAGCTATTTTTCTAGGGGTAAAGCAGCCAGGGCTTGAAGCTGACCACTCACCTCCAACTAATGCCGAGGTAAAGAAAATGAGCATCTATACATCCACTCCCCCATACGCCTTCATGGCGTAGTGCTTAATTACTTAAGCACAGGGACAACTTCACTTTTTTTACGTAAACATAAAAACCTGAACAGCACTCCCACTGTGTAGGGAGGACTATCAGGCAAAATGAAAGACGGCCAGTGAGGCCGAAACATCTAGTAATTAATGCGTGATCCTGAACCTGTACAAACTGTTGTGTTGACAGAATATTAAAAGAAGTGTGTAGCATAATTTAAGGCGCTGTCGCTATATATGGCAAGAGTGAGTGAGGCAGCCCACAAATAACCTCAGGATAAGCTGTGTTGAGAGTCTAACTGGACACTTCTCAAATGACTTCAGCTAACCTGCCCGGTTTGCGAGATGTTGCAGATGTCTCATTCATTTGTTCACTGAGGAGAAGCCGTTCTTCGCCCGGGATATGGTTATTTTCCCTGTCAGTGTCGCGGCATACGTTAGCTGTCCCTGTAACAGACCCTGGAGGCCCATAGGGGTGTGAGACGTCGAGGCTGTCACATTTTCTAGACATTCGGCTCACAGATGGCGGTGAGGTTGTCAGCCTTACGCGCCGGCCGGTTTTTGTTAGCAGGAAGATTCCTGGTACTCATTTGTGTTAGAGGCTGAGTTGACCCCACGGTCCATAGTGCGGCTGGAAGGATTAGAACAGTTGATAAAGGTGACGAGGGTATAACACTGAAATTGAGAAATTAAAATTTACTCATATAGTTTAAATTTGGATGTGACTCAACATCAGTGCTTGACAGCCGTGGCTACAGTACACATTGGTAAAGAGTACGCAGTACTTTGCATTATAACTTTGGGAGTTCTGTATTGCATCCACACCGGTCACGGTAGCCGAGCGGTCTAAGGCATGCACTGTCTTCGCTCTCTTGGAATCCGGGATCGTGGGTTCGAATCCCACTCAGGACATGGATGTCTGGTTTTTGTGTGTGTTCGTTTAACTGCGTTTGTATACATTTAGAGGCCTTGCGACGAACTGATCACCCGCCCAAGGAGTCCTACCGAATGTCTACGATCTAGCAAACCGAAGTGAAACGGAGAGTTTCATGGAGGTAGGCCAAGGCCCCAACTGGGGCTATAGCGTCAAAGAAGGAATTACATCCACGATAGGAAACAAACAGGAAACTTATATTTCCACATCCATTAAAATATATTTATTTATTTATTTCTCTCTAACAGAAATGAGTACCAGGAATCTCCCTGGGGACAAAAAACGACCGGCGCCATCTGTTAGCCGATTGTCTAGAAAATGTGGGAGCCTCGACGTCTCACAACCCTATGTACTTCCACATGCTGTTACAGGGATAGCTTTACCTTATTTACGGTTTATTTGACGACAGAGTCGCTAGCTCCTGCCTCTGTGGTCTAGTGGTCAGAGTTCCTGGCTACAGATCTAGAGGTCCGGGTTCGATTCCCAGCGTTACCAGATTTTCTGAGAAGTAGTGGGTCTGGAACGGGGTCCACTCAGCCTCATGAGGATAATTGAGGAGATGTTTCAAGGAAATAGAGGCTCCGGTCTAGAAAACCGAGATTAACGGCCGTGGGGATTCGTTGCGCTGACCACGTAACACCCCTCTATCTGCTAAAGTTGGCACTAACTTCGCCGACAAGCGACGTCCTCTCTGTCGGTATAGTTCGCTTGCGGACTACAGGCCACGGAGTTTTTGTTTTTGTTTGTTGTCTAGATCTGATGTCGGGATCGACTGAGCTCCGTGTTTGCCTTCAGACCTTTCCTCAGGGGCAATGCTGTGACAGCTTGAAGCTCACTACTCATCTTCGTATAGTAATGAGATTAAATCTGCTTGGAGCTTTTGTTTCCACTCCTGTAATACATTTCTCTTTGGAATCAGACGCAGTAGAATGATTTATATCATTGTGAAGAGTACAGTCTTCTGCGTTGTAATACTGTGTCGTTTACAGTGATGTCGACGTTTCGGATGAACATAGAACCTCCATCTTCAGGGTCGAGAAAAAATATCAGCAAGAACTCAGAATAAACAGAAGCGAGCTGAAACGTTCGGCTTCCTCCAAACTACACGGCGTCACATGCTAGAACACCGGGTCTGTATCACTGTTCACTGAATTGTTACCCGGTAAGCAGTCATTGTTACCTCACATCGCGGCGCCCGTGCGGTTAATACTGCCACGTCGTATTTGGAAGGTCCCAGGTTCAAATCTCAACCCTCAGATCGACCACCCTGAGTGAGGTTTTACGTGGTTGTACTCGTTTTCTCCAGAGAAATGACGTGATATTACCTCCATTAAGGCCATGCCAGTTTCCTTCCAAATCCTTTCTAGTTCATTATTTACCATCATGTCATTAGACGCTTTATGGTGGTCGCTAGTGAGGGCGTCGTTAAATATACCGTAAATAGCCGTCATTCTGATTGTAGCACTTTGGTTTGCGGAACCGCATAATCTTATAGGTGGATACCAGTGTTTTGGAGGAACATGCTGCCTCCATCTTCAGGGAAGAAGTCGGTCCGTTAATATGTGTCTTGCTGCTCACACTGTTCTCCGGGTTCATGACCGCATTTGAAGCCTCACAACGTCCGTGACATTCAGAGACGTCCTGAAGCGTCCTGTCTGGCGCGAGGGCGCTGTACTTTGTCAGCCGTCCTAATGACTGCCACTTTACTTACAAATGTCTTTGTATAGCTTCATATACAGAGCGCAGAGTTTTGACATTTGGAGTCAGCTTCTGTGTTTGATTTCTTTGGTTTCGTGAGACTGAGTCCACTTGGTACATCGGCCATTAATAGACCTATTGTACCAGCCCCGGATGATATAAGAGTTTGGAGCATTTGGTGGAATGAAAATTGGCAGGGGAAACCGAAGTACTCAGAGGAAACCTGCTTCAGTGCCTCTTTGTCCACAACAAATCCCACGTGACCTCACCTGGGATCGAAATCGGGCCGCCGCTCTGGGAAGCCGGCGACAAACCGATCTAGACTGCAACGTATGTGAAGATCTTACCAGCCCGGGCTCAATGCAGCAGGTCCTGCCTTGTCATACTTACTCGGCGAAGGTGTACCTTTCTCATGATATTGTGTGACTTCGTGTGCTGCTTGCATTAAGTTAGTGATAATATTGTCACGCTTTCTGTAGTGACTATAGACGGTTTACAGATCGTATCTACAAATTATTCACTCTCTCTGCAGTTCATTACAGCATATACGAAGTCTTCTTAGTCTGCTGTATCTTCACCAGTTGTCGCCTGGTAACGGCTTCCAATGTCATAGCTTCCTCAGCTTCTGTGTCCAAATCCTTACTGGCCGGCGAATGTCTCACAACTCTCTCATTTCTCAAACTAACTCGCAGGCTGGCGGCCATCTCACATCAATCTCCTACTCTTCCCACTGCTCTTCTTAAGACTCCCATAAGTCAAAGTCAAAGTCACATTGGGACTGATGGTTAGTCAGTCAGTCTTGGTGTCGAGCGAAATCTGGGGCTTGTGACCAGATATTCATTGCTCTTTGACAGTTACGGGCTTGTTATTGCGGGGCGCCCTCTCTGACGAGAGGACCGGTTTGTCTTTTGTTAAAGTCATTTTCTGCAATAGTAAGTCATTTGTCATAATGTAAAGGATATTTCATTTTACTTGTTAAACACATTAATAAATGTATATAAATATATGCAGGGCCTCTGTTAGTACAGGCTCGGTACAGCAGATTATGCCATATTTCTAGTAGCTTCCGCTACAACGGCAGTCTGATCACTTGAACGGTCGTTTGCTTGACCGCCGCCAAGTTTAAGCCTCTTATATTTTCTATGTCTGGCTTCACCTTGTCCAAAGCTGAGAACATGTTCATTCTCATAATTTTGTATGACTTCTGCTTGTTGTCTGCATAGTTTTGTTATATAATCATATACGTACGGAATTTAAGACTCTCATAATCGCACCTGCTCATAGATATATAGCCTCGGCACGGACCGCACAGAAAACACTGCCTCCAACATTTCCTCCATTGTTGCATGTGCGTCTCTTGCACCCATTACCTAGCAATGCTGTTGTTTACAGAATCATTAAAAGGCATTGGTTGTTGTTTAGCTGCTTATTTAGCGGTCGTTGCCTAGCAACGGGTCTGCATGCCGCAATATCTTAAATATACGGTACTATGAAAGCCATATTCCATTCGGGAACTTCAGGTAGATTCAGCACTCAAGAAGCAGTGCTGCTGGCCCAAGGACCCGAGCAGTGCCTGGGCTCCTGACCCCACTGTGAGGTCCAGCAAACACTTGCAGGTGTCCTCCACTTTGGACCGTCCTCTCAGAGGAGAAGAGGAACCGGACGCGTCGATATGCTTGCTGCACGTACAGCCAAGGAGGACCCTTATCTTCTGTTGTCAAGCTCTGAGACATCCTTCAGGAGGTTGGCGAATCGATCTTCTTCTGTCTCTGCTGTCTGCAGGTGGTCATGAAACCCAGGAGTTGGGGGG